GCCTCCCCTTCAGGTGCACGGATGAGGATGGGCGCTGCGAGCCCCTCCTGGCTCCAGGGCAGGCCAAGGCTGGCACCTACAAGTTGCGCTTTGAGACGGCGGCGTACTGGCAGCGCCTGGGGCACGAGAGCTTCTACCCCTTCGTCGAGGTACAGAGTGGAGGGAGCAGGGGACAGGGGTCCACATTCTGTGGCCAGGCTTGTGGGAGCATCACACATGCTCCAAGCATCCCAGCTGAGCCCTGGCATGCGGATACTAGCCCCTGCGTCCTCACTCTCGCCCCCAGGTTGTCTTCACCATCACAGACCCAGCCAAGAAGCTTCACATCCCACTGCTGATCAGCCCCTACTCCTACACAACGTACCGGGGCAGTTAGGGGACAGCCACAGCCTTCTGCCCTCAGGACACAGGTCAGTGGGAGGGAATTACACCACCAACACCATTAAAGGCTTCAAACGGCACCATCTGTCTCCAGAAAAAGTTGTTTTCCTGAATTCTGGAGGGGGAGAGGAGGGGAGCCCCAGGGGCAGCACAGCCAGCGGGTCCAGCACAGGAAATAGGGGAGCTTGGGGGGGCATCCCTGCTCCCCTCTCCAGCCTGGCTCTGGTAGGTCCTTCAGTGCAGGCTGGCATCAGGTAGGCACAGCAACAAGTCCTGCAGGGCCCTGCCCAAGCATGGGATTTTCTAGGGGCTTGAAGCCCAGATTGTCCAGGGGGATCCCAAAGGCTGTCAGCTTTGCCTCGAATGTCTGCAGCATGTCATTGTGTGCCTGCAAGAGAAGCATCCCCATGGTCAGCCCGTAGCCCAGCTCCAGGACAGCCTCTCTCTGCCTGGGCATGGGTTCCCTGTGCCCCCCTGCACAAGGAGGGACCCCAACATGCCTTCCTGTGCCAGGCAAAGAGCAGCCTGAGCTGGGTCCTTGTCTGCCCAGGGCATGAAGCCACGTGGCTGGCCTATTATGCATTCTCTCCCCTCCGCTCTGGGCAAGGCCAGGAGGAGAACGACCCATTTCCACACACAACCCCCCCCCAAGCTGCAGACATCATCCAACAGCCCCCAACCCGGAGCCAGGGTGATGGGGCAGCCCCATCTCCTTCCCTCACCTTGCAGACTCGGGCCAGCTGGAGCTGAAGGTCCTTGATGGTGGTGTTCTTGGAGTTGAGCACATCCTGCAAAGGGAGAGGGTGCGTTGGGCAGCAGCTGCCCAGCCCCAGTGGCATGGCTGAGCTGGCACCAGGGCCTGGCTCAAGCAGAGATGCACACAAAAGGGCCTGGCAGGCAGCCACCAGACTGTGCCCTCCGAGCCAGCACTGCCAGGGACAGACAGCACCGAGGGACAGGGACCTCCCGCCCCAACACCACAAGTGCCAGCACAGTCCTGCTGTCATCTCTGCCCCTCTGCAAGGGGGACACAACGGCAGCACCTGCTCCGGCATCACCGCCTTGCCATTGCGGCACCAGGGGGATTACAGGGAGAGAGGCTCCCTGAGAAGATGCTGGAAGCAGCTGAGCAAAAGAATTCCAGGACCCCAGCAGCTGCGGGATTGCTTCCCAGGAATGTGTTTTCCTTCCTGCTGCTGTGGCACCTGCTAGTAGGCAACACACCCATTCTATGGCCCCAGAGCCTTGGCTGCTGCTGTGCCCACCCCCAGGGCACCCTTGGCAAGAGGGTGAACACAAGCATCACTGCTGCACACCACAGAAAGGACTTGTAAGGGGACAGGGTGGTGTGGGTTGAGCAGGAGGGTACCAGGACGGTGGCCAAGCCGAGTGTACAGCCCACATCTCCTGCATCTCTACCCAACCCAAAGCAAGTGCTGCTTCTCCGGTTACGGCTGCGGCAGGCTCCAGGAATGTGGGTCTCCCAGCCTCGACGCCAGGGCTTTCTGCACAGGTATTTTTAGCAGGGTAGACTCTGCAGGGCGCCTGGGAACCCGTCTGCACCGTCTCTGCAGCCAGTGAGGCCAGGCAGGGTCCCCCAGCTGTGACACCCCATGCACAGAGCACCCCGGATCACTGGTGGCCCCGCACACAGCGGCTGCTCGGCAGCACAGTGCTGGTGTGCGCTGCTTGGCCTGGGGCCATTCTCCTCGAAACAGGCCCCACCTGAGGGACAGAGCAGTGCCAAACCCCGACACCCACGTACTCTGCTCTCGAGGGAGAGCTGGAGTGCCCTGCGGCACCGCGTGCAGCCCTGGGAGTGCCAGGAACGAGTGACATGGCAGCTCCAGCCATGCAGGATGGGGGTCTCGCAGGCTCCAAGGTCTGCGTTCACCCCCAAGCAGCCTCTGCCCCCCAGGCCAGCCTTCACAGGTACCTCCAGCTTGTGCGAGACCAAGGTGAGGGCACCCTGATCGAGCTTGGAGGCAGCAAAGACCTCGCTGAGCTCCACTTCCTTTTTCTCCAGGATCTCGAGGAGTCCGGCCAGCTTGCGCTCCAGGAGCAGGTTCTTGAACCCTGTCTTCTGCTGCACCTCGTGAATGGCTTTGGTGAACTTCTGGTAGAGCTCATCTCGCTCCGCTTGCACCTGCTCCCCAAAACACAGCCCATCTTCATCTTCTGCTTAGGACCCCTGGGCAGGGGCTTTGCCTGCAATCAGGTCCAGCAGCTCAGCCCTGCTCCAGTGGGAGCCCGACTACTCCCTACGGCACCCATGGCCCCCCGGGGAGGGA